GTCATAGGAATATGCTGTCGACCGCCAGACCAGAATACTCAGGGTGATCCCAAGATGGGAAAATTAATCAGGGAGGCTTCCAAGAAATGCAATGCTGTGATAATAGCCATGAGCTCACGGGGTGACTTTGGGCCAGTCACAGACTCTCAGCCCTGCCTTCCTTCACAGGATTGTTGTGAGGATATGACTGAAAGAAGAATTATGCAAATATATAAATATAATAAAGGAGAAGGAAGGAAGGAAGGAAGGAAGGAAGGAAGGAAGGAAGGAAGGAAGGAAGGGTGACTGTGGATCCCTGTGGATCTAGGTAATATTATGCACCTAGTATTGTGCTTCCACGTGGCAGTATGAAAAGAACCCAAAATCATTAATTTGGGAAGGTGGAAAATAAAGGTTAAGGATGGATTGGTGGTGCTGTCCCAGGGTTTGCTCAAACTTCTGGATCATGGTGGGGTGTAGGAAGTCATCCATATAGAGATGTGACCTTGATTTAGCCATGCTGGTTCCCCCACACCCCAAAGAACCAAGTCTTCTTTTGCATCACAGCAGTGAGTTGCTTGGATTTCCCTTCCACACAAATTATGCTACCCAGAGCCAAGACAGAGGTACCGGAAGAAGAGGCAGTAGAGGACTCAAAGGTGGGAAAAGGCAGGTTTGTCAGAAATCTGGGTGAGCAGTTCTGCTTGCTGCTGGAAAAGCAAAGGGATGAGGAAACATGAAAATGTTTGCAACTGTGAATAAAATCGCTCCCTCTTCTGCCTGGACAAGTTCCCCAGCTCTGGGGAGTCTAATCCAGACTAAAATGTGCTTGCATAACTTTCCCAGCCTGCTTCCACCTGCTGCAGACGGCCATGGCCAAAAGGGCCCCACCTCATATAGAGCATGGCAGAATAACCCCTCCCTTCCTCCTGCACAGTGACGTGAGCGTCCTGTGTGCCCCTTGGAGCTTCCAGGTGTGAGAGAGTGGTGCCTTCAAGCTCACGTTCCCCAAATCTGATGAGACACTCAGGACGCAGCTCTCCCCTCCCTGGACCATCTGAACGGACAGGCATTTGTTAGCTTCACTTTCTCAAAAGCCTCTACTCCTATCTAGATTAGCTTTCCCCTACCCAACACCCTTCAGATTCGTCGTACTACAACCCCATCATGATGGCTCAGGATGATGGTGGCTGAAGAGGGTGCCAGGTTGCGGAAGGCTGGCCTGTTGTTGCAATGTGCCATCACATCATCCCCGACTTATGGCAACCCTATGAATGAGAGCCTCCGATTGTCCTGCCCTTGCTCGGCTCCTGTAAATTCAAGGCTGTGGCTTCTTTTACGGAGTCAATCCATCTCAAATTTGGTCTTCCTTTCTTCTTTTGCCATGCAATTTCCCTAGCGATGATTGTCTTCTCCAGGGAGTCTTGCCTGCTCATGATGTGCCCAAAGTATCACAGCTTTAATTTTGTCATTTTTGCTTGTAGAGAAAGTTCTGAATTTATTTGACCTAGGACCCACTTTTCTTTCTGTTGAGCCAGAATATTCAGAATGTTTTCCTCCAGCACCATGTTTCAAATGCATCGATTTTCTTCCTTTCAGCTTTCCTCATGGTTCAGCTTTCACACCCATGCATAGTGATCAGGAACACAATCACGGTGATAATCTTGGCCTTGGTCTCCAGCAAAATGTCCTTACACTTGACCATCTTTTCTAGGCATGGACTAAAGTGCCATCTTTTTGCTTTTAACAGTCACTTGCCAGACAAACATTAAGTAGGTGCAACCAGCATCCAGTGAAGTAGCAAAAAAGCAGCATCTGTTGAACAGAGATGTGTGCCAAGCAGTCACGTCCCCGAGCAAGTGTGCTGGGGTTCAAGTCTCCAGGTTTTTGAGGGGCCCTGGGCAAGACACACTCCATAGGCCCCTCCCTCAGTGACACCACCTTCTCACCTGGGCTTCCTCTTCCACCTTTCTTACCATTCCTGCTCGCTTGAAGACAGACAGACAAGAACCAGGGAGCAAATAGGCTGCATCAGCTCCACTGCTATGCAGGTGGCAAGACTCCAAGGGACCCTGGCCTGTCCTTGGCATACCTGCCCTGCTCAGCCTCAATGCATGTTGCCCCTTACCTACTGTTCCTTCCTTTCGGGTGGACACGTGCCTGACCACACCTGGCCCTGGCAGCCTTGACATATTTATCTTGGATACTGCACACTCCTAAAAAACACCAATTTTCCTTCTTTGTATGTGTTTATCCCAGTTTAGGATCTTGGCTTCAAGACTTGGTTGACTTACAAGAACTGCAAAATTTTTTCTTCTTCTGACCTATGGTGAATTTCTAACGGTGAATAGCTTAAGAAAAATCTTTAGCCTTCATTCCTCTCTACTCCATCCTAGAGCCATAAGACATGTTAACCTGGTTAATAAATCTGATCCATGCTGTCCCATCTTCCTGGGACCTACAAGACTGTGTTCTTTGTATCTGCCAGTTCCTGCACAAGGAGTAAGATGCACTGCTCTTGACTCTGCTACCGAAAACGCCTCCTTTGAAATGATGAAGGGCAGCAAGATGGTGAATTACAGCCTCGTTTCTGATGAAATTCTGAACTGTAAGATCAGCCTCTTCCCCAGGAAAGGTAAAATTAAAGCTGAAGTGCTTTGGAGAATATCTGCAGTCCTGTGACCTTCTAGAAGGTGGTGTTGTAGAGTGCTGCGCTTCTCCGTTTCCCTCCCCCTCGCATCTCCCCCTTCCTACCTTGTGTGGATTGGAAAACAATTTCACCTAGGAGTAAAGTGTTGCATTCCATCAACTGTACCAGGAAAAGATGAGGATATCGAATTTCCCTGGGATGAACTCCAAAGTGGAAACCACCAGGAACCGTAAGATTTTGGAAAGGAAAATGACAGCACTGCATCTGCTGTTCTTTAACTCACTCATTCATCAGGTTTTGCTGTGAGAACCAGTCTGTGCTCTTTGCCCCCATAAGCCCTGCTTTCTTCCCACTCAGTGCAGGAATCTCAGCTACCAGCGCTATTTTGGATTCTGGGTTTGAGCAGTTACCAAGAAGAGCTCTTAACTCACTTGGACACCAGCTGAGGACCAGCACAGGAAGCCTGCCGAGTGAAGCACTAAAGATTTTCCTGGACTGAGTCATGTCAGGCAGTGGTTGTTGGTAGGGATGTACCTCGCTCCCTCTCTCTCTCACATACACACACTTTCCTGCATACCAGGAAGAAAGCAGAATAGTGGAGAAGGTTTAATCTACCCATCACAGCCTAGCCCTTTTTTCCTATCCAGGGCATTTTGCTATGGAATATACAGAACATAAACATTCTGTGTCTCCTGTTACTGCCACATATAATTCTGTGTTGCTTTCCTTAGTACTTATAACATTTATTTTTACCCATTTTGTCTGTTTGCCTTATTGTAGAAGGATAGATTTTTGTTTTGCTGTTGCAAGATCTTGCCTCCCCAAACTATCAAATAAAACAGCAATCGCTTTCCTGGCTGTCCACCAGAGGGCACTCTTGCTTCAGACATAACAAGGGCAATAGGGACTGTTAAGATTTTGAGCCTGTTAATACCACCACAGCAATGGACAATTATTTTAAACTGGTTTAACTGACATGGCTTCCTCCAAGGAACTCTGGAAATTGGATCTTCTCTCTGTTAACCTAAAATTGCAAGCTATTTTATGTGTGAAAGGAAGCTATGATGCTTAAATCATTTTGCCATTTACATATATTCTAACAAGGCAATCTTATGAATGTCTGTCTGTTCATAAATAACTTCAATAGGACTTACTCTCTTGTAAGCTTGAAAGGGCTGCAGCTTCAGTGACTCAGGTGAAACTGCACTTAGCCTTAATTTAAGGCCAATTATTTGAATTCTCTGTGGTAAGGCCTCAAAGCCTAACTGGTCCAAAATCAGATAAAAATGGCCTCTAACTAGAGCAGGGATGGGCATCTTGTGGCTCTCCAAATGTTTTGGCTTACAACTCCCATCAGCGGTAGCCAACATAGCCAATGATGAGCGATCATGAGAGTTGTAGGCCAAACAACAACAACAACAACATCCAGGAACAGCCCAGTTTGCCCATCCCAAGGGCATTTCTGTGACTGTGGTCTCGAAGAGACTCATGTGCCCAGGGCTTTGTGAGGTCACCTGAGGCAACCAATATTGGAGCAGAGACCTCCAAAGCGACCCCCACTTCTGATCCATCAGTGCCAGTGTCAAGCTTACACTACTCAAACCCTAACCGTTCATCCATCTTTCCTCCTTTACATGTAACATATTTATCAGAAAGAAGGGGGTGATTTGAAAATGTATTTCATGTCACTCTGTATATTTCAACAAGTCCATTCCAGGTCCAAATGATCACCTGGAGGTTTGCCAGAACTTTGGGATTCTAACAAAGACAATTTCACATCATGGTCTCTTGTGACGGCAGTGGGGAATTCTGAAGGAAATAACCTTTCTTTTGGTTGACAACATGGATGGAAAACACAAGCGCATCCTGCCCACAGGGTGGCAATCCAGATTTCCGTGAGAAGCCCAGAAGGAAGTGCAGCAACACAAGGCTTAGTTCTCATGGCTGGTAGCCATTCATGTGTCTCATTCCTTCCGTGTATCTGTTTCTCCTGATCCACAAGCGTCTTTTGTTCCATTTAAGCCTGTTTAGTCCAGCCCTTGTCCCATCCCCCAAGGCCTTCATTACCTACCTCAGCCGGAACTCATTCATTCCTGTAAGGGGGATGACAGTACTTTTGCCATTGAGGAGGATAAAAGGGGTTAGAAGGGTCGTGTGCACTCGAAAATAACATTTAAAAATCCAGGTGGTTACCCATTTCGTTTTGGGACGGCTGTTTGCATGGGAAAGCGCTTCCCTTGTATTCTTCAACAGCAGTCCGAGCTTGTAGAGCTGGTGCTACCTCAAAACCTAACAAGATGGTCGCACCTTTGGCCCCTTCCTGGCTCCGTTCTTCAGCCCTCTTCCCCACCACCGCTTGCACCCTCACGGCTCAGACGCCATGGCATTTCCCGCGTTTGCTTTGTTGCTGGAAGCTGCGCAGCTTGTGTGCCCACGCATCTCTCCAGGGCAGCGCCAGGCTGTTTTTGTCAAGGATCAACCGGGCAGGGTCAGGCGACTCTTCATCGTTGCCAATAACCAGGTAAGATTTGCCAACTTGGAGGTGGAGGCATCGGCAGGCCAGATCTTGCTCGGGAACCCACAGTGGCTGCTCACCCCGTCGAATGGGCACACGGCGCTGGCGGAAGACCGTGAGGACGGAGGCGGTAAATTGCCACCATGTGCCGGACTTCTCCATGGCCAGCAGCTGTGCACGGAGAACTGCCGTTGCACGCAGAGGTGACAGAAGAAGAGACAAAGAGCTGTCAGGAAGCGAACCCAGCTGGTACTGCTCCAGCTCTGGAGCTATGACAGCACTTCCTAGTCGATGGCCAGTTACTCCCTCCCACTATGCAGGACTGCTATTGCCCCCGTTTCTAACAGTTTGACAGCATTGCCAGGTGTGTCCACCCAGCACTTCCCAGAAAGCTTGTGCTTCCAGCTATGATGAATGTATAGAAAGGGGACAATCCTATTTACCCTTAAAGGCGTCATTTCCAGTATTTGCCATTTTAAAGCCATACTGTTTCTTGAAGGCCTACTCATGGGGCACAGGAACTGACTGGGTGGTTTTTTCCCCCCGAGGTGGGGGGTGGGGGTGAGGACTATGACTTCCCTTCCTAGTTTAGGATTTCCCCATTACTCTTTCAGCAGCAGGACTTCACACCCGTACGTCAGGGAGGCAGGAAACTGTGCCCTTGGAGGAAAGTTGGTATTACCATAATCCTTCTTGCAGTAGTTCCTCAAGTTCATGTGGACACGTCCTCGTGGCGGCTTGCAGTGGGTCTGACATTCCGTGCCTGTTGAACGTACAGGGTTATGCTGGGGTGACCTCCTCCTCCTCAACACTCCCAAATCAACAGTCCTCTGGGGCCTGCGAACCAGACCTCCAGGAAGGGGATTGTTAACCTCTCCCTGCTAGATGCTTCCTATCTACCTCACAGGAATGTGAGAAGCATTGCAGAAGTCAGAGGAGCCACCTGGCACTGTCAGGCTCTTGGGGTCCCTCTGGGGTCTGTCAAAGGGCCAGGTTCCCTTTCCCCAACCACCCCACTGTTCAGTGGTTTCCGGGCTCTTTTACAGAGGTTGAAATGCCTCTTTTGAGCTACTGGCAGTCACAACTTTAGCTCCAAGAGGCTGGTCTTTGGGCCCCACCTCCTCTGCCTTCGGTCCACCCCGTTTGCCTTCATCCCCCTCACACCAGCTTCTCCAAAAGTGCATTCATCCCTCAGGCTGGAAGAGATTCCACCCCTGAGTAGCCCCCAGGGTCCCAGGAGATGCCCAGGCTTGAATCCGGGCCCTCTGGCAGGCAGAGGATGGGCTGGATCCCCACACAATAGCCCTGTGATCCTGCTCACTCGTGCCTCTAAGCAAGTCCTCTACCTTTTAGGCTAATTCAAGGGCCTGGCCTGTACATGCCACAAAATAAGGGGGTGACACGGACTAGCTTGCATCGGCTTGGGTCATGCTCTTGGTTTGCCTCCATATTAAAGCACACGAGCAGCATGTGTGGGAAAAGTTGTCACCCGAGTGCCAGGACCTTGATCCAAGTTGTGCTAGTTTCTATACACAGGCATTCAGAGGGGGGTCCTCTGTCTGCTCTGTGAAGTGGTACAGTCCTCACAGCTGCCTTATTCTCCCATGTTTTCAGCCTGCCCAAGAACCAGTTTGTCACTATGTGAGCAATTGTGGCACGTCCTTCTGTCCTTGGTCACACACGTGTGCCCATGCGCACATGGCAAATCCATGTACCACTCAGGTTTTCAACATCTTGGAAAGCCAGACGTACAAACAGACTGAGAGCAACAATGTCTATGGTCATCCTTTTGTCCCCAGCAGCTGCAACAGCCCACTTCCTGTTTCTCTGTTCATGGGATGATGGGTATGTGCAGAGATGGACCTCTGCTAAGCTGACATCCCGCAGAAGTGTTTGACTGCAGCTCCCATAATTCCCCATGCTGTATGGGAATTATGGGATTTGCAGCCCCACCTATCTGGAAGGTACCCCAGATGAAAAGGCAAAGCAACCCGAGCCTTATGGATCGTGATTAGAAGCAAGCGGTCCTGTGCGGTGGACCCTGAGAGCTCTCCCACCTTGCAGCTTCCATCGTTAGCAATGTGCATCACAATGGCTGCCAAAGGAGGGGGAGGAGCCAAACGGATGCAGCAACTGGGGTGGCGATGATGGTGCGTGGAACACGAGAGAGAACCAAGAGCCATCTCAAGCATGCTTCCGAAAGGCGCTGTTACCTGTCTTTAGGCTTGCCAGCTTAAGAAATAACAAAATTCTGAACTGGGATCTGGGAGTAGAGCCATATATAGACATTGGGTAAGGAGGGGGCAGGTAGAGCCCAGCATGTACATAAATTACGAGATATCCTTCTCCAGGAACAGCTAAGATGGGAGATGACTTTTCCTTTGACAACGGTTCTTCTTCTTTACTTCGTCTTTTACCGCTTCGGGTGTCAGTAATTACCTTTTATCTGTTCCGTTTTTCTCTCTACTAGAGAAATTAAATTATCTACAGAGGTTTGCTACATTCTTGTGGGTAGGGACTTACAAAAAAATTCGTTTCATTTAGTTAAAGATCAGTATCTATTGCATTCCCACCCTTAAATAATTGTTAATGGATTTTCCCGGCATATTCCTCAGCCTGTGATCTTGTTTGTAAAATGGGTTCCTTAAGAAAAAAATGCTCTTTTAAAATACATATTTTGGGGGGAAATATACATGTTCATGCATTAGTCAATGGAGTTGGGTGCTTACTTAAAAATTGTGCGCCCAAATCTGCCCTTTGGATAAGAACAATGCCAAAAAAAGCTCATATTTGGAATAGGATCAAGGCAGGCCAAGCTCTGAGATGGAGCTCAGTGAGTTCAGGCCGCATCGATTCTCCCATCAGCACTGCATGGCTTAATTAAAGCCAAGGTTTGTTTTCAAAGCTTTGGAAGATGCCCAGTAATGATACCATGCTTCTGAGCAAGTACAGAGTACCTATGCCCCGATGCGACTGAGTAACCACAGCCCCAAAATTCAATACTGGAGTGGGAGTGTGGCTTTCAGGAAGGTTGGAGCTTTAGCACCGTTTTCTAAAACCAAGCATCCTTCTTTTATTCAGAGGGGAAAATAAGATTTGAATCCCTTTCTTTTCTTCTTCTCACCTGCATTCCATTCCTGTGGGGGAGGCACAGTTGTCGTCATCGCTTCCTGGATCCCTAAAAGACGGAAGATCCAAAGTAAGCCATTTGCTTTTTAAGTATGTTCATAGAGACGAAAATTCTTCACCGAGAAGAGATAAATTCTTAAGCCTCGGTAAATTGTTTCATATTAAGCTGGCTTGCATGTACTTGTTTTTGCACCAGTGCTTCTGCTAAAAGAACGTTGTTAATATTAGTCGTAAGACTTGTCTCCCACTCCAGAGATTTTTGTCACAAATCCTCACACCCAAACTGCAGCTTTTAAAAATTTAGCAGAAGTCTGTCTTGTGCCCTTCACATCAGTCCCTGCAACAGATGGGATGCTTACACCGTGCTCCATGAAGTTATTTTCTCAAACAGCCATTCCATGCAGAAAGGTTGAGGGTTGCTAGAGAACGTGTCCTTTCCCAGCTATGATGTGTTTGCCCGCTTTAGTGATGATTTGGGAGGCAAAACTTGCCAAAATGCCCTCTCGTTCTAGGACCGTGATGGAAAATTTAGTGGGAGGGGCTTGCAGATTACCAGAATTAGTAGGATGGGATCCCCAAACATATTAGGAATGTTCCCCTAGCAGAGGGAAATGGCTTCTGGCTTAGGAAGATCTGTCATATAAAAGAGGGTAACTAACATTGTTTCGGTAGCATACTAGAGAGAATAAGGTAGCAAGACACTGGCGGCTAAGTGTTAAATACTTTAAAAAAGAGAAAGAAAACAAGATGACCTTTCTTGATATTAGCTTGAAATGCATACCAGGTAAATGCATACCAGGTAAATGCATACCAGGGATGACTTCAGGTGAGTCCAGTCTACCCGGTTCTTTTAAAGGGTACATAGTTATCATTATCTTGGCATCTCAGTGCTGCATCTGTTCCTTGTGTTAACATTAACAGAGATCAAAAGAAAAAATTTGGAAAATGAAGGATTTTTATGGTATTTTATTTCACACGTGTGTGTGCTTTCACACCTGTTCTTGTTGTTGTTAGTTGTGAAGTCGTGTTCGACCCATCGCGACCCCATGGACAACATTCCTCCAGGCCTTCCTGTCCTCCACCATCCCCCGGAGTCCACCTAAGCTCACGCCAACTGCTTCATGACACCATCTAGCCACCTCATCCTCTGCCGCCCCCTTCTTCTTTTGCCATCTATTGTTCCCAGCATTAGGCTCTTCTCCAGGGAGTCCTTCCTTCTCATTAGGTGGCCAAAGTATTTGAGTTTCATCTTCAGGATCTGGCCTTCTAAAGAGCAGTCAGGGTTGATCTCCTCTAGGACTGACCAGTTTGATCGCCTTGAGGTCCAAGGGACTCGTAGAGTCTCCTTCAGCACCACAATTCAAAGGCCTCAATCCTTTTGCGCTCAGCCTTCCTTATGGTCCAGCTTTCACAGCCATACATTGCAACTGGGAAAACCATAGCCTTGACTATACGCACTTTTGTTGGCAGGGTGATGTCTCTGCTTTTTATTATGCTATCTAGATTTGCCATAGCTTCCTCCCCAGGAGCAAGCATCTTTTAATTTCTTGGCTGCAGTCCCCATCTGCGGTGAACTTGGAGCCCAGGAAAATAAAATCTGTCACTACCTCCATTTCTTCCCCATCTATTTGCCAGGAAGTGAGAGGACCGGATGCCATGATCTTAGTTTTCTTAATGTTGAGTTTCAAGCCAACTTTTGCGCTCTCCTCCTTCACCCGCATCAAGAGGCTCTTTAGTTCCTCTTCACTTTCTGCCATGAGAGTGGTATCATCTGCATATCTGAGGTTGTTGATATTTCTCCCAGCAATCTTAATTCCAACTGTTGATTCATCTAGGCCTGTATCTACACACCTGTATCTACACACAGAAATATAAACATTAATCAGGATATTATTACTCCAGCTATAATTCGGAATAGCTCAGATGTTTTGTTTGTTTGTCTTTCCTCTTGGCCCAGGAGATCAACACGGAATGATGGCCCATGAGGAGCAGGAGGTGAAGTGAAGTGATGTGTTGGGTTAACTCTCTGAACTAGCAGTCCACTCACTTTGATGACGAGGCAGAGGCAGGTGAGGCATGTAATGGTGTGGGAAGAATTTTATATCATACTCATCTGTGCAGGCCAACTTTCCCTCGAGTTAGAATTCCATCTCTAATGCAGGCATCCCTGCCCTGACTCAGTGCAGAAAAAAAATAAAGTGCCCTAGGCTGTAGTGGACATCAACTACAATAAAATGTTGCAGCATGAAGCCACTCTGTTAATGCTGAGTCAGCCAGCCTATGCCCTCCTTCAGGATACTCCATTCCCTTTTCCTACCCATGCTATGCCATGTGTCTTGCCTAACTGCCTTAGGAGTCTTTTTCATATATTTTTTTTTCCATTTCTGCAAACCTCAGGACTCTGCCAAGTCTACCAATAAGCAGGAGTGGTGTTGCGTTGACCACATAAACATCAGCACTTGCTCTTGGACATCAGAAACAGAAGGAAATATGCCTTTAAAAGAGGATTAGAGAAACGCATGATGCATAAGACCTTAAATGGTTACTTGCAACGGTGGCCACAAGGAGCCTCCATGTTCAGAGGCAGTATACCTGTGAAACCAGTATTTTACTTTTCTTTTTAATTACACGTGTCAGGACAAAATGAGCAAAAGCTTTGCCATACTATGGCTGCTGAAACTCTGACAGTGTAAGAACAGGTTAAGACTTAAGCTACATAGGATTCCTGGTCTGAACTGGGATCCATGGTGCTCATGCCTGCCTGTCCTCCAGAGGCACCCTCTTTGATATGCCAGTTCCCTTGTCCTGAAAGGTCTTCCTTTGGGGAGGGGCGCCTTAGACATGCTCAGGTCTGCCTTTTCCTGAAGGTTCTTCTCTTTTGCATTGTGTTCGTGGGTTTGTCCCCTGTTGTTTCTTTTTTATGTGCCTCTAGCAAACTGCCTACATCCCCACCTGCTCCCCAACCCTTCCTCCAAACTGTTTGTAACAGGTAGGTTATAAAACATCTTGTACAGGCTCCCTCTTGGTAGTCCCTTTGGGGCTGCCCACATGCTGCCTGAATTTCCTGCATGTCTGAATAAACTGCAACTGTTCTTTGGACTATACACCCCCAGCGGATTCTCTTGGGTGCTTTTCCCCCACTCTTGATGCATGGATATCCTACCTGTCCTCTGGGGAACACAGGAATAAGTCATTCTCTACCCCATCGCATCCTGAAGTGAGTTAGAATTGCCTGAGAAAGAGTGATCGGTCCAAGGTTTGCGCCTCTGCAGATATTCACAGCCAGGGCTTCTTGGTCCTACTCTGACACCCTCTTAGTACTGCTCTTCTGGCTTTCTGGGGCAACTTGAGGCGGGGGGAGATTGCCTTCTTAGCTTGCACCAGGCTTTCAAGGGGATCTAGGCTGTTCTTACTTTTACCTGAGACACAGGTAAGTGCTAAGGTGCCTCTGATTACTGAAGCACATAAATGGGGCCATGCTGAGATGTGTGCCATGCAGGCAGGCCCCAAAGGAAAGGCTGCTGTGGAACAAGGGTTAAAGAAGTGGCCAAGCTCACGGATGCAGGGGGCGTGGGCGCTGCGGCTTTGCTGGAATCCCTGGGCGCAGCGGTTGCAGGTGAGGCCGGTGACCCCGTTCTTGCAGTGGCACTGCCCTGTCGTTTGGTTGCAAATAGCACCGGCTGCTCCAATGGGATGGCACTGGCAAGCTGCGGAGGAAAGACACTGTGTCACAGTCCTTGGATTCAAGCGCCGGGAGCTTCCCCAGAGCAATCTGGCCTTCCCTTCCCCATCTCCCCACTGGAACATGGGCACATGCCCTTTGTGTGCACCTCAGCACTGTGCCCACGAAGCGGAGCCCGCTAAAGCACTCCCTGCCTCTAGCTTAGCAGCTGCAAAGGGCTGGGCAGCTTGTGATCCTCCAGATGTTTGGGCTGAGAAGCCTTGGCATCCTTCATGCTGGGTTGATGGCGTTGTAGGCCCAAACATCTGGCGGGTCACACCCTTGTCCTACATGCTAAAATGAAAAGAACACAGACAGGGTACATTTCATGGCCTTTCCCGGCCAGTACACTCTAACATGGAAGCTACAGAATTAATGTTCTCAGTATCCTCACCCAACAGTATTTTCCAGGGTTCCAGAGCGGAGGAAGCCGTGGCAATTCTGCCAACCTGGAATCCAGATTAACAGTTCTTCCCTCATTGACAGAGGGAGACGTGCTATTTCACTAGCATGAGAAATTTGGAGGGTGGAATTGGGCTTCATGAATTTTGCATTAACTTATGGCTCAAAATGTTTTTAGCTTCCCTTAAATTTGCTTACAGAAGACTCCCAGTACAAATCAGTGAAACTCTCATCACTTTCCCACATCTATGAAACACTCTGAGAATTTTAGAGAACCAGGAGCTCTCTAACACAACGTTCTCAGATCTCTCACACAAATATAAATTTCTAGAATTCAGGTAGCGTTGGAGGATGCCAAATAAACCAATCTTAAGTATGCTGGATGGCTGTCTTTTTCCTGCTCCAGATTCACTTCCTATTGGACAGCACTAGTGCTGAATCTACGAGGAGGGGAAATGGGAAAATCTCACATGGAATCTGAGCAAAGCAGGGAATGGTGTGCGTTCCCTTGGGGTGCCGCCCCTAGTGAGACCCTGGCAGCCCACCTCACCTTTGCAGGCCTTGCTGCTGGTTATGGGGCGGCTGAAGTCCCGCCTAAAGCCAGGCTGGCAGTACTGGCAGTGGCGCCCGGCTGTGTGGTGGCGGCAGTTCAGGCAGATCCCCCCACTGCGGCGCCCCGAGAGTTCAAACAGCTCCATGCTGAACCGGCAGCGATGGGAATGGAGATTGCAGTCGCAAGCTGAGGAAGCAGGAAAGGGGACTTTCAGCTCTGCAAGTGCCCCACGCCCCTGACCCAAACATTCTCGCCCCCCAACCTCCACTGCCATTCCCAGCCCTGAGTCCCCCCTTCTAAAAATCACCCCCAGTCCCACACACTGCGCTGAACCAAAGATAGCTCTGCAGACTGCCCGGGTCACGTCTGCCCAAGATCCTGGCTTGGATCAGGGGCTGTTTGCCACAGTGAAAATAGCCTAATAGAGAATGTTCTCAGCAACCAGCAGTGTTGACTTTTGAGGGGGGTAACTGGTAAGCATGGCACTAGGCTTTGATCCAGCAACTAAGGCTAAAGCAAGAACACGGGAGCTCAGGCGGATGGAGCTCTGTCGTGGGTACAAATGTCCTTCTGTTTACGCAGAACACCAGGGAGCAAATCCCAGCCCTGCTGCGATCACACGCGAAATCTCCGCTGGACGTGCTCAGTCTCACCCACACACTCATGCGCATCCTTGGGAGTGGCCCGCTGCCAGGGCCTGTCCCAGTAGAAGGCTTTGCAGGTGTCACATTCAGGCCCGGCCGTGTTGTGCCGACATTCACACTGGGGGGGCCCTCCATCTTCCCCGGCTGCGCACTGCGAGGCGTGTCCGTTGCACTTGCACCGGCCCCCAACCTGCAGCTCGGCCACCCCGTAGGACACCTCCCTTCGGCGCAGCCCCAGGGTCCGCGTTGGGTGCATGTGGTCAAAGGACACCCGGAGGTCAGTGGCGGTCACCCAGTCCTGCAAGACAGGGCTGTACTCAAACATCCTGGCGGAGGGGCGGCCTGCTAGAGGCAAGAAGGCCACCAGGCCCCCTGTCAGAGGTTTGGGGGCAGTCTGGGCTTCAACGCAGGCGGCCTCATGTTCCATGGCCTTCAGGATGGTGGTGGTCGGGGGCAAACCATAGCGCCGGTGGCAATGGGTAGAGAAGAACTGAAAGGGGACCCAGCTGCGCCCATAGTCCATGGACTTGTAAATGGCCAGGGATTCTGGCCGTGGGGAGCAGAACCGGAGAGCCACGTAGAGAACTTCCACTCTGCGCCCGAGAGCCAAAGTGAGTGTGGCATTGGTGGCCGGCTGGGACCACCAACAAGTAGCTCCCCCATCGATGTCTGTGAGGTACTCTGGCGAGTGGGCATTTCTGCTGCAGCGCTGGCAGAATTTTGAGGCCGGGTCACTGGAATCCTGGAAGGCGCAGAATCGCCCGGGAGGGCTGCCACAGGTGCTCGACGCTTCCACCAGGCGCCCCGCGGCCAGTTCGGACAGCTCAGGCAGGCAGTAACGTGGACGCTGGTTGGCATCGTAGCAAGGGTCACGAGGGCCGGAAGCCAGGCCCGACAGGAACGGGAGGAAAACTGCAAAGCCCCATGGGAAGTGAAGCATCTCGCGGGGGAAGGAGTCTGGAAGCCACAGCTAACTCTACATCACCTGGAAGAGAAAGTGGAAAGTGAGGGGGTGTGATAGGAGAGCTGGCAGTTCAGGACGGAGAAAGATTCACGACCTCTCCCTCAGCACACACATTTCTGCCTACTCGGTCCGTCACTTCCCCAGTGCTTCCCCTTATTTCTTGGTTCTGTTCAGGTGCACTGTGCTTATTGCACAATGATATGAAGTTATTCAACTGCTGTGTACAATCCAGCTCCTTTTCTCTGGGGAGAGCACTTCCTCTGTGAAGTTTCACATTTCCCCAGCACGCAAAGCACGGTGCTGTTATGCACATACAGCCCACATCTGACCAGTGAGAAGTTCCAAGGGAACCAGCACTTACTCTTTTTTTCTTAGAAAGCATTTCTTTGATATATGGTTTATATATAGCTACACTCATAAATAGAATATAAAACGAAGGTCTACAATTCCTGCTCCCCATCTGACATCTAGGGGAACTCATACAACCACAGGAATCCCTGCACTGAGCAGGTTGGCTATTGACTTCCTTTTCAGATCCAGTTCCTACTGGGTTGAGACATGGTAACCCACACTCAAGGGCTGGGTATGGGGTAAGTGTGGGTTGTCATTGAACCATGGATTGTTCCTGAACCCTGGTTTCGCATATTGCCCAAGCCATGACTTGTGAACCAAGAACAACTTATGAATAGAACTCATCATTTGTTGTTGGGTTATAAATTGTGGCTTGTTTACCATGGTTTGTTATCGCAGCTGGGTTCGGACAATATGACGACCCATGTTTCAACAACAACCTACAGTTCAATAAAAACCTTCACCCAACCCTCGAATGTGGATTCTCTAGTTTATTTATTAAATTAGCATCATGCTCTCTGGGTGGCCATGGCAATTCTGTTGTCTGCGCCCAGTCAATCTGACCAAAAAGCAACAAGTAAGCTAGCCCTCCCCTTGGTTTAGGGGGCGAGAGGAGGAGTTGTCTTTTATTTGGATAACAGAACATTGTTTGGGCAAGATTCCTTGGGGCTGGTTATAGTGGGAAATTTGGCAATACAGGTGCCCATTGTGTCATGACATTTCTCATAGCCACACCTGCAGTGAGATTCCAAAATTTCAGGCACCTGTGTTGATTTGTGTCAACGAACCAGTTCCAAGAGTTGTTGTATCCTCCAGACGCAGATCTCACTAAAGCTAACGGGTCTAAACTGCCCATTGAAAACCAACTTCCAAAACATTTTCCATTACAAAAGGAAACAACGTATTGTGGTTGGGGACATTCATTTTCCTGCAGCTACAGCTAACTTCAGAGGGAACCGGGAAGACAGCATGAAGCGGCAGATGAAGTCAGTGCAGGAAAGAAGAGCTAGGAGGGCTCTCTGAAGTGGTCTCCCACTCCTGACCCCGAGCCAATGCAGCCGGCCAGCACTTGACACTACCAAACCCACTTTGGTGATTTGAGAGCTCATACCATAGAGATGTGGGGCTCGATGCTTATGAAGTTCTTCCTAAAAGCTCCATGCCCACTTTCACGATCTGCAGAAAAAAACTACTCAAGGCAGGCTTTGTCAAAATCACCCTATTTTCAATGGAATTTTAGCCCTACATTAGAGCAGGGGTCTCAACCTCGCGGCCCGTGGGCCAATTGCCAGGACGGGTGGGGCATGGGGGAAGGGCCCTGCAGCCTTCAAAGCACCGGCGGCACCCAGACTGGCCTCCGGGAGCAACAAGGGATGAGCAGCCCACCACCACCGCGGTGGTGGAATACTTGATGTGGCCCAGCCTCACCCAGACTCTACTTCCAGAGGCCCCCAGGTAAGTTGAGTTTGAGACCCCTGCATTAGAGTTAGGGGTGTGTACCAGGGTAGGGTTATGGTTACACAGTTTTTTAAAAGCGTTCCTTGAGTAGCTTTTTCTGCACAGTTCATCATTTCTGCCCATTCTAAACACATTCCAACCATCAAAATCACGCCAGGACACCACATTTTTCTAACCCTAACCCTACCCTGGTGCACACCCCTAACCCTAATATAGGGCTAAAGCTGCACTGAAAAGAGGGCGATTTTGAAAAAGCCTTCCTTGAGTAGCTTTTTCTGTGCAGCTCACAATTTCTGCCCATTCTGAACACATTCCAACCACCAAAATCACACGAAGATACCTCATTGTTCTAACCCTAACCCTTACCCTAACCCCAACCCTACCCTGGTGCACACCCCTAACCCTAATACAGGGCTAAAGTTCCATTGAAAATAGGGCGACCTTGAAAAAGCCACCCTTGAGTAGCTTTCTCTGCACAGCTCATCATTTCTGCCCATTGTAAACACATTCCAACCATCAAACTCACACCAGGACACCTCGTTTTAGTAACCCTAACCCTACCCTGGTGCACACCCCTAACCCTAATATAGGGCTATATTTCCATTGAAAATAGGGTGATTTTGAAAAGGCCCCCCTTGAGTAACTTTTTCTGCACAGCTCAGCATTTTGCCCTATTTTCAATGGAACTTTAGCCTTACATTAGGGTCAGGCGTGCGCACCAGGGTAGGGTTGGGTTTACAAAAAGGAGGTGTTCCGTTTGCAATCCATGATGTAACACATCTTGTCACAACTTTGCTGCTAACTTCATCCCCCTTACCTGAAAGATGGGGCAGGCATCATACATTTCAATCTCTGATGTGTATCCAGTCCCAAACTGATGCAGCGCCTCCTGGGGGCGGGGGAGGCAGGGATGCTTAAAACTGAGTAACACCCTTGATTTCTAAAACTCCCCTGCATTTAAAAAGCAAGTCCTCCACGGGTGGTCACCCTTGGTAACAAGTAGGTAGGGAGCTGAATATGCTCCTTGAGTTGTTAAAGCACCTGTTCTTCGTTCTCTGATCATTCATGGAACAATAATTCACACACACACATACCCACACATCTCAACAACCCACTTGAATCTAGAAACCAGGCCCAAAGAGCCAAATAGATGAGAATTTAATGAGCGTGAGAAACTAGCTTTAAACTCCCTTTTCACAGTACAGGCACGAATGGGAATTAACCCGGTCCCAAGGGCAGGTTGGGGGAGTACAGAGGGGGGAGAGAAAGGTAATAAGGAACAAGGGCTTGCATCTGGTCACTGATGTGTGTGTGACAGAGAGAGCGAGCGAGAGAATGAGAAGGAGAAAGTACGTTTTGAGAGGGGTGGTATGTATTTGAATGGATCAGGGAGCGCTAATTTGTGGATTATGATAAGCCAAATTCTCAATTTTCCCTGCGTTCCAGCATGCTGGGGGTTGAATAAACATGTTGGCTCCCCAAGGGGGCCACATCCATCGCTCTTCTGGACAGCACAGTTGGCGGGGGGAGCAGATGTAGGAGGAAGAAGGGCCTTCTCTCAGCCTAGTTCCAGCGGGCCTCAGAGCAGGGGGTTTCCATCGCAAACGCTCAAGCTCGGGGAAAAGCTTCCCCCAAAGAGCATCTCAGACCATGCTGGCTTCCTTAAGCAGTGGAGACATCTGCGTTCCTTGTGGCTGTCAAGGAAGACCATCACGCTGAGCTTACATCCAGGGCATTCCACCTGCCCTTCTGCTCAGAGATCCCCATAAATGCTTATTCCAAGCAGAGAATGGTGGTTTCCTCTCCCTCTGGTAAGACAGGCAGTGACAACTGAAACTCTGCCCGACTGGTCCCAGAGCCTTAATCTGCACTGTTTTTGGTTCTGCACCCTCGTCTCCCGACCCTGGAGCTAACCTGCTCTTGCAGCCCACGATCCCCCTTTTGACTTCTGCCTTCACACAGTATCTTGGCCTTCCCTGCCTGGCATGCCAAGCTGCTACAGGCATTAAAGGTTGATCCCACTGTCCCCAAACCATCTATCACCAGAGTTAGCGTAGGGCTAACGGCCTCAACTCACCTTCTAGGTAAGGAAGGAGGAAGAAATCCATGCAGGTGGGACTCTGAATGTGAAAAACCCAGGAGTCCTGGCTTTCTTCAGTATAACCCTTCACCCTGCCAAACTTAACTAGATCCTTCTTTTCCCAGAGAAGAGGATACAGTGAACAGGAATGCTATATATGAAGAATTTGGTCACTGCAGCTTGCCAACTTTATAGATACAGGATCCTGCCCACCTGGTTTGGCATGCAGTCACCTAATGAGGAAATCCTACGCTTTTGCTGGGAACAAGGCTCTTGAGGTTTCTCTTCTTGGCACCTCCCCAAGGCTTCCTCTTCCATTTTCTCTGCCGGAGGGTGTCTTTCACACAGGGACTTTTTCCTGGGGGTTCTCCTTCCTGCCCTTCTGTATGTTCCATGACAGAACCCAAAGTAGCACTGTGGTATACAGTGAGTTGGACTGTGAAAACAAACAGGCTTCTGTAATGAATAATGGCACCATCAGGAGCAATGCCAGACTTTCCCTGCTCTAAAAAAGCCACAAAACTGGGGGGTGGGGGCAGCTGGGAGAAGCAGGATGTTGCGGAAAGACCTCACACACTTCCATGAATGCACCAAGAATGCCTCCTGTAGAGAAGTCCTTGGTTACTTATTGCATTTTTTGGTTTCCCAGCTCTCAAGAACCTCTGCACAAGAGCTTTCCCTTCTCATCATCCATTTTATTCTCACCACAGCCCTGAAGCAGGCATAGTGACTGGCTCAAGTTTACCCAGAAAACTTTGTGGCTGGAGGCAAATTTGAAAATGGCTCACCCTGCTCCTAGTCTTGTAGTTTGGCAGAACGATCCTACTGATGGATGGGAGAGACAACAGTAGGACAACACCCTTATCCAAAGCTGAGGTTGCACCGACAAGACAGAAAGCAAGGAAGTGTGGCTTTTTCCTTGTTTTGCTCCTTTTTTTTGCTTCCCTCTCTTTTTACGGTGCTACTTTCACGATTCCTGTCCATTGCTTAGAAGCCTCAACTCAAGGCTTAGCATGAATGACTCCCCCCAGCCCCAATTCCAGAGATGTTTTGGGCGAATAGCACCTTCCCCTACTCAAACCCTGAC